CTTGCACTTCAAGTCTTGTGGAAGTTCGGACTATCCTGGTTTGTGTTTGGAGACTTTTGGTTTTGATTATTTCCTTGCAATTTAATCTAGTGTTCTTGACAGCCTTGCACAACCTTGGCAAGGCTTGTTCTTATCTGGGACAATTAGTTTTTAATAGTGTTTTACTGTGAATGAATGGAATTCACAGAGAAGCATTAAAAAGGTTTTGCTTTTATCTCCGTTTGGTGGGGTTTGTTTGCTTGGAACGAGGCTTGGGTCAGAACACCTAAGATGATTGATAACAGAGATGAATTGAAAATATGGCAACTTAAAAATGATCTCAAGGTTGCATACATGATCCCTTCCCCCCACCCCACCCCCCAAATACATTTCACTTGAAAATTTTCATGTTCAGTTAGGAGGAATCAGAGCCAAAAGAAATCTTTGGTGAGTGATGATTTCTGAGGTAAAATTTTAAAACTGCAACGTATGCACGCTTGGTACAATCTTGATTGGAAAAGTGGAAATTGCAAATTGAATAAATGTACACCTTTGTCATAGGTACAAGTTTGTTTAATTAGTTGCTTGATAAGTGTATTATATATACCTGATTTATGATATGACACAGGGTACTGGAATGAAAAAAATTACGCTAGCAGGAGGTAGTGTGCATTTCAGAAATAAATTGGAAATATAACGTTAACAATGTTAATTGTAATATTGATAATGTTATAATGATGTGGAAAACATGCCAAAGGAAAAAAAGAAAATTAACAATAACTGAAATATTAAAATGGATAAGAGATAAAGGATAGAAATAGAGTGCCTACCAATATAAGATTTGTGATATTAAGATATAGAATAGAGGTAGAAATTAGGAAGGGGGGAAAATATAATTATGCATATTTCTATATAAAATGCTACAATCAATAGGTAGATGAAAGGACCAGAAGATGATTATATTGTGTACAATATCATTACAATGATGTGAGTATGATTAATGTAATTAAGGCTATCAAAATTGTTAATCTCATCACTATTATTTGGTACCCAAATTAATGATGCCCAGATGCCACACTGTTCATGTATTGTTACACATACTTAAAAATAAAATAAAGAAACTTAATTAAAAATAAATAAATGGGAAAAGGTGCATCAGAGCACAAGGGAAGCAAGCGCCTGTCTGATTTTAAAGGCAGCCACGTCTTGGGAACCAGCAGGCTTAATTCGATCCGTGGTTAGGGAAGGGGTGTGTTTGGGTCTCTGTGCAGCCCAGCGTCCCTTTCCGGGATGGAATCTGAAGCATTGCACACTCCTCTTGGGCACAAAATGAACGGTCTTCCTGGTTTCGCTCCATTTGTAGGAAGAGGAGGAGGAGGATGAAGATTACGATGAAGAGAGTGACGACGACACAGCTGCTCTGTTAGCTGAGCTGGAAAAGATCAAAAAGGAACGAGCTGAAGAACAAGCCCGGAAGGTAAACGCATGGTTTAAATGTGTTGGTGACGTGACAAAATGAAGATAGGTACCTGATCGATAACCACCTTCTAGGGCAGGGGTGTCCCAACACAAGGCAAACCCTGAGCTCCGTTTTCACTGGCAGAGGGCTGTCAAAACAAACTCGAAAGAAGAAATGTTTCCCCTTTTGCATTTGAGTATCCAAGAAGGTACAGGAAAGGAGAAAGGGAAAGAGGAAAAGCAAAGAGAAAGAAGGAAAAATAAGGGAAGAGTGGAAGGGAGAAGAAAGGAAAATGAAGAGGGAGGGAGGGAGGGTGGGAAGGAAGGAAAGGAAGGAAGGGAGGGAGGGAAGGAAGGGAAGGAAGGGAGGGAGGGAGGGAGGAAAGGAGAGAAGGAAGGAAGGAGGGAAGGAAGGAGGAAGGAAGGGAAGGAAGGGAGGGAGGAAGGAAGGGAAGGAAGGAAGGGAAGGGAAGGGAGGGAGGAAGGAAGGAAAGGGAAGGAGGGAAGGAAGGGAGGGAGGAAGGAAGGAAAGGGAAGGAAGGAAGGAAGGAAAGGAAGGAAGGAAGGAAGGAAGATTATAATGAGAGTGAGGGAGAGTCTGAGGGAAGTCCTCCTTAGCACTTGGCCACCAAAAGGTGCCCCCAACATAAGTGGCGTCCAGCTGGCCACGCCTACCCTGGCCACGCCCCCTGCCCCCCCCCCGGAGGTCAAACAAAACCCTGATGTGGCCCTCAATGAAATTGAGTTTGACACCCTTGTTCTAAGGGCTACCATTAGAGATAGCCCTCAACTTAAGACCACCGTTGAGCCCAAAATTTACGTTGCTGAGTGAAAAATTTGCTTAAGTGAGCTGTGCCCCACTTTACGACTCTTCTTGCTACGTTTGTCGAGCGAATCACTGCAGTCGTTAACATTAGTAACGTGGTTGCTAAGTGACTCTGGCTTCCTCATTGACTTGGCTTGTCTGAAGGTTACAAAAGGCGATCAGGTAGCCTGGGACACCGCAGCCGTCACAAAAATGGGAACCACTTCACAAGCATCCCAATGTAAATCACGGGACCTTGGGGGGGGGTGCTGCTGCAGTGGTCATAAGTGTGAAAGATGGTCACATCCCTTTTTTTCAGCACCGTTGTAACTTCGAACGGTCCCTTCATGAACTGTTTGTATTGATTGAAAATTATTCTTTTTTTGTTTGGGGAGAAATTCTTTCATACCTCTGCTGCTGGAATTGCATTTGATCGACAGTTAATGGTATCCTACTCTTGGCAATTCTATGGGCCTGGTCTCTCCACATCTTCCAATCTTGCCCCGTTTCCTTGATTTTTCTATGTTCTGGCTGATGTCAGCTTTGAGGGTGTGCATTTGATTAACTGGGCACCTTTAGGCTCTATGAGGCTGAGTGGTGTGGTGGCCTAGAGATGGAGATCTCGCCTCACAATCAGGAGGCTGTGAGTTAAGTAGAGGCAGATATATTTCTCTCCCTGGGCCCACTGGGAATATATCTGCTGGGGAAAAATACTCCTCATTGGCAACAGGAAGGGCATCCGGCCAGTAAACACTCAGCTCTATTCAGTTGCCCAGACTCCACCCCGCAAGGGATTACGGGGTCGTTAAAAGAGGATGATTTAAGTTCTATGAGATGGAAAAGGTATGGAGATAGGATGCGATGAACACCAGCTATAGTCTATTATTTTCCTCTCAAAAATCCCGTAAGCTGTAAATCGTTCTTCCAAGCAATCGTAAGAAGCCACTCATGGCCAGGTGTTTTAGAGCTGCATAATTTTCAGTTTCACTTGTGAGAAGCTGCTTGATAAAAGAAAAGATGCTTATGGAAATAAAATCTAGCCAAAGCATATTTTATAGTTGCGAAACTTGGCTAGGAGAGAGTAAGGTCTAATTCGCTAATAAAAGCAGTTTGCCAACAAGAATAGAGAGCTGGCAGTTCACCAAGGAGCAGATCACACGGATAATTGTTGGGCCTCTGATGTAAATAAACAGTTTTAAATCATTTCTTGGTAATCCAGAGGTACCAACAATCAAGTCTTGTCCACTACATTGGACCAAACTAGTCATTGCATATAAGCTAGGAATGTGCAAAACTTTCAATTCAGAAAGATTTGAATTTGGAACATTTTGTCCTTCCCGGATACAAATATTATTTCTAGAAATAGTCATTTAGTACCACTAGAGGCTGCTAGAAGCTGTTGAATGTAAAGTTTCCAGTCAGGCATCTTCCAGATGAACTGAATTGCAGTTTCTATCTTGCCCAGCCAGCTTGGCCAAAGAATGGTGGGAGTTGGACTCTGATGGCACCACGGTGGAGAAGGCTGGTCTGTAGCTTGGTTGGATGAGGGATGTGCAAAATTCTTTAGTGCCGGAAGAGTTCACTTGGATATTCCCAGGAATGTTCATTTTTTTCTTCCAGAATGCATCAATTGTCTGTTGTGTGGTATTTTCTAGATGTGGTCTGGACCTCAACCTGAAATCTTTTCCAGAATATAAGGAAGAAAAAGCCATTTTTTCCAGAACTGTTGGGAATGTTCCTTCTAGTGGAACATTCCAGGGAAGACCAAAAGGTGCTTTTTCAGGAGGCAACTGGACTTTCTTGTTTTTTTTTTCTTTTGAAGACATTTCACTTCTCATCCAAGAAGCTTATTCAGCTCTGACAGGATAGTGGGGAATGGAAGGATTTATATTCCTTGCAGGCAGCAGGAACTACAGGAACCAGGAGCGCTACTCAGGTGACCCCGAGTACACAAATAAACCTCCAAGTGGCCTCAACAACTCTCTAAAAGAATGCAGATGACTAGCTGTCTGCCAGGAGTATAATTCCTTTGGTTTCCCACTATCCAGTCAGAGGTGAAGAAGCTTCTTGGATGAGAAGCGAAATGTCTTCAAAAGAAAAAACAAGAAAGTCCAGTTACCTCCTGAAAAAGCAACCATGACCTGGATGACTGAGAATCTCTACAGAATTCCAGGGAATATCAAAATATTCCATTGCTAGATCATTGTACGTTGGGCATAAGTTCATTATTACTAGGGGTGTGCAGTGTGCTTCGGGTTTGAATCTTAAAAAACATACTTCGAAGCATTTGGGAGTACCCCTGTTGTCACTCTTTCAAGCAGCTGCATCATTTTATGTACCAGAGGACAAATTTGTGATTCAGGAGAGAATTAAAGAATTGCAAACAGGGCTTCTGTTTCTGAGTCACGGTGCACCAAAACACTTTTAAAAAAAATCAAATATAAAGCACCACACAGCCTCAATTATGACCGTTTGCTATGCTTCTTTGGTTACTCCTTTGAACTTATCAAACTGCTTATCTTGCATTGGATAGCTGGTTTACCAAGTACAGTCATTTTTGCTCTGATTGGCAGCTATTCTCTAAGCTGTTGAGCCGTAGTTTCCCTACCCCGCCTGCCCTGCACAATTTTGCAGCCTGAAATCCATTCTGTGGCTGGTTTAACCCCGTTATGTTCCCATATCCAAGCCATATGATCTCCTGCTGAGCTTCAGCATTTCTGGAATGTTATGCTTGTCCTGAATTCTGTTTATGTGTACGCTCTATATCTGAGGTAACTAATATGCCTGTCTGGGAGATGATGGAGATGAATACATGTAGCTCATGTAGGTTATTAAAATTAAAATTATGGGCATGTAGACATCAAGTTTACCTTTTATCCAGAAAGCAGTGCAAGGCAAAATTATACTGGAAAACAGTAAACGATCAAACTTAAGGTAAATGACATTAGTTGTACTGGCTTCTACTTGTAGTTGTTGTTAATAAGACAGTGTTTATGGAGTGGATCAAATAGAATAGCTCCATTTAGATGAAGTGATTAAACACTGATCAAAACATTAAGATTAAACATTGTAAGAACTATATCAATACATTAGTTACTTCACTGAATAAAACGTACAGGTCTGTTTAAGTTCTTACCAGGTTATCATGCAAAGAATTTTTGCAAGTCTCTTTTCACAAATCTTGTAGTGGCCTGAGAAAAACCTAGTGGAAGGTCTGGATTTCCAGATTTCCTGAATTTAACTATTACATTTTTTTAAATTAGTGCGATTGGCTTTTTACCTTAATATTTATGCTTGCTTGATCTGCCTCCACTCTCCAGATTACACTCTATTTGTGGAGGATGCAAGTAGTGTAATCTTTTACCACCTGGCTCAGACTAAATTAGGTGGTATTTGCTCTCCAGTTTCATCCCGAGGATAAGCACGAACCATTTTTGTTTCCAAGCAAAACCCAAGGTTAAAAGTTGAACCTGTCACTCAAGGACCGACGTTTCAAATTCCCTGCCATGATTCCCCCTTGCAGTTTTTATTGTACGTGTCCTGAAAATTGAAAACGTTGGGTCTGTTTTGCTATGAGCGACATTCTTGGATGGTTTTAAATAACCTGACCATTATGATATGCATGTTTAGGATTTGTCAATAGCATTACAGTTTGGCAATCGTGCAGATTACTTCTTGAAAAAATCAGGATTCCACTTCACCCTGGACTGGACAGATCCCACCGCAAGGACTTTGAACATTTGAGGAAGGATTCTGACACGCTGGAATAGGTTCTGAGAAGGACAAGAAGGAGAATCAGGAGATTAGAAACGAAGGCCTGTGAACAGAGATTAAACGAGTTGGCAATATTGAGCTTTGAGAAAAGATCAGGGTGAGGATAGGACAGCAAACTTCAAATTGGGGCAGGTCCACTTTTGCTAGTATGTTTTGCTAGCACTCTGCCAGCGAAAACGGAGCTTGGGGGGGTATGCGGCCCTCCGGGGCTCTGTTTTCGGCTGTAACATGCAGTCCTCTGGCAGTAAAAGTGGAAATTGGGGGGCGTGTGAGGCCCTCCCAGGCTCCATTTTCAGCTGCAATGGCCTCCTGCAGCACTCTGCCAACGAAAACAGAGCTTGGGGGGGCACGTGTGACCCTCCCGAGCTCCCTTTTTGCTGGCAGAGGCACCGCGGGCTGGTCCTTCGCTGTTTCCAGGGTGGCCCCACAGGCCAGATCTAAGCACCATGCGGGCCGTATCTGGCCCACGGCTCTTGAGCTTGACACCTCTGTGATTAAGTCCTTCTTTGAAGGTCACAGTGGGAGAGTACAGGAGCTTTAGCCTGAAGGTGAACTTTTCATTCCTTGGACTTATATAGCTGCTTCCCCTAGATACATGAATCCAAAACCTCAGAAGCAGCTTCTGGCTGCAGCCCTGTATTTGGCATATGCTTCTTTCAGAAATGGAAAACCGGCACTACAAACATTAAAAAGAAAAAAAGAAACTTGAACGCACCGCAAAAGGACTTGTGGCTGAATCTTTAGCTGCTTCTACACTGATCTGAAAAGGAAAGAGGCCACTTTTATAGACAATTCGCTTTCATAAAAGCATGGAACCCACCTTTCTTTCTCTTGGCAGGAACAAGAACAGAAAGCTGAAGAGGAGAGGATACGGATGGAAAACATCCTGAGCGGTAACCCTTTGCTGAACCTTACGGGACCAGTACAACCTCAGACAAATTTTAAAGTGAAGCGAAGGTAGGGAGATGTTAACGGTGCATTAAATGGATTCTCAGCTTTTTTTCCACTGGATTGTGAATTAATTCCAAAACAATTAAATTGGATTTTAATTGAATTGTTCAATCCACTATTATGAGGAAATCATAAAGCGGGGAAAGCAGGAATTTAAGGTCCTTTTGATCTCTGTTACACATATAACTACGGTTGTCTTCCTGTATAATTCAAGTTCCTCCTGTTTATTTCCCCATGCTTTCCCCAGGCTCAAAGCATAGGGAAATAAACAAGAGCTTGTTTGCAAGAGAGGCTGTGAACCAGGATGTACAACACTGGACAGTGTTAGCAGAAACACTGAACCACCATAGAATAGACCAGTGGTGGCTAACCTTTTTCGGCTCTTGTGCCGATAATTGCACGCGTGCTTGCTTGCACGCACTCCAGTACCAGCACCCAGAAGGCAATGCGTGTTGGGGGCCCCTGCGCAACTCCCTCCTCATGCACAGGTTTTCCCCCCTCGTGCTATGCATCTGTGCATGCATGTGCGATTCCCCCCTCGCGCGCACGACTCCCTCCTCGCACGCCGCGCATCTGCGCATGCACGCACAATCCCCTCGCACGCACACCTGCGCACCGCCCCTTTCCCCCTGCGCATGCGCGCCAGATACCCAACAATCAGGTGGCGGCGTGCGCACATGCATAGTGAAGTTCTTCCGGGTGACCTCTCACGTGCCTGGGGAAATGGCTCTGCGTGCCACTTCTGGCACACGTGGCATAGGTTCGCCAACACAGGAATAGACAGTCCAGAAATAAATCCATCATGGAGGAAATAGAACATGCCAGAACTCTCTGGCACCTACCGTTCCTCGGTGAGTTCTGCACATCACTTACTGTGAGCTTAATTGGCCAAAGTGTTATGGGTTTCTTTTTTCTCTTACTGTTTTAAAAGCCCTACTTATTTATACAGTCTTGGGAGTGGTGCAGTGGCCTAGAGCTCTCGCCTCACAATCGGGAGGCTGTGAGTTCGATCCTAAGTAGAGGCAGATATTTTTTTCTGCTGAACAAAACTCCACATTGGCGACAGGGAGGGCATCCGGCCATTAAACCTTCTGCTACCTCCATTCAGTTGCCCAGACTCCACCCCGCAAGGGATTATGGGTTTGTTAAAAGAAGATGATGACGACTGACTTCTACACTCTTAATATTGTTGCTTTAGGGTTTTATTTTTCAACCCTCATGGGATGCAATGTTTCCTCTTTAATTGATTTTATCCAGGCTCTTGGTTTCTACCAAATCTTTAGGATTGACAGCATTTCCCCAGGCTTAGACTCAGAGCAACTTCTGAAAGATAGAAGTCTAGAACTAGAGAAAAATCCCTAAAATGTACATAAGAAAGGGATCAGGGCACATGTTTAAATTCCTCCATTCCCAGATAATTAACTTATATTACATGGCTTTCCATTGGGAAAGAAAGCCATATCCGCATTTTGAAATTATGTCTTCCCTAATATACAGAAGTGGGTCTTGCACAAAAGATCCTTAGAGTCTACTTCTCGGAACCTGTTTCTGATTCCCGATTAGAGCTTGCAAGATATAGCTAAGTTTTTTACTTATTTCTATAGTGGTAAATCCTCAACTTAAGACCAATTGTGAAGTATCTACCGGTGGGTTAATTCCTACCCGGGTTAGAAGTTACAACTCTTGAGGGGGGTTGGGACTGCAGTCATGTGGCTTTACATTGGATGCTTGGCAAACAGCCATTTGCAATGCCATTTGATCACATTTTACTACGTTTTTAATTGGTTTTACCATAGGTTCACTTAACAAACTCCACTTTATAACTGCTACATTTGCTTTAACGACGACTGCAAAAATGATAATTAAAATCAGGTGGGTCGTTTGACCGGCCTGTTTTACAGCCATTATGACTTATAACCAAAATGGGCAGGTTCCTTCATGGTCATAACTCAAAGACAGCCTGTATGGGTTTCTGTAATCAACTCAAATATGCATTCATAAACTCCTGTTTAGGAAGATCCATAATATAAATAAAATTCAGGGCTGTCTGGGGAAAATTATAACATTGGGCCTTTGTTTTACCTGTCCAAATAGCCCTTAATTGTTACCAGCATTCAGAGTAACAGAATTGGAAGGAACCTTGGAAATCTTTTAGTCCAATCCCCTGCTCATTCAGGAAACCCTATACCCGTGATGGCAAACCTATGGCACGTGTGCCGGAAGTCGCACGCAGAGCCATCTTGAAGAAATAGCACAGTTCAATAAACAGTCCATGTCTTACATGTTTTTTATCAGTCCAGAAATATCCATTTATAAAGTCTTCTTATCGGATTCACGTCTTTTACAGCAGACAAATATCAAACCATAATACAACAAATCTTGGATATCAACAGAATATCAAAATAAATAGGGTTAGTCAGTATCGATCCATAGTCGGTAAGTATAGGTATCAAGAGAGATCATCAGTGCAAAAGAAAAAAAGAAAGAGAATTAAACCATGATCTATAGCTCCCTCTTATGGCAACTTGTAGCATAATTAACCAACCAGAACACAGCATAATACATTACAGTATTTTTCCTTAAAGCTACAAACATATGTATTTGTGGTTTATATATTGTCAATCCAACTACGTTATTTACATATACATGACACAAGCCATTGCCCCAGCTCAATTCCACTGCACATGAGCGCGCGCCTCCCGCCAGCCAGCTGATTGTCAGGTATCTGCCGCGCATTCGTGGGAGGCGGGAGAGCGTGGAGGGTCACGCGTGCAGGGGGAGTGCGGTGGTCGCATACCCATGTGGAGGGGATGCATGCGTGCGTGCATTGCATTACGGGTGCACTTTCGGCACGCGACGATTGAAAGGTTAGCCATCACTGCCCTATACCATTTCAGACAAACGGTGGTCCAAGGTCTTCTTTAAAACCTGCAGCAATGGAGCACCCACAAGTTATTTTATTCCATTCTAGATAGCCTGTTTTAACACGACTCCGATTTCATAGGATTTTCAGTTGCTTCTTTGTTTTCTGTAACATGCTGTTCCTGCTTTTCCTTCTCTCAAGAGCTTCTTAATCAAAATGAAGTTCCTGGGGATGGTTGGTCTTTAATCTGGCCAGATGTTCACTATTCCTGTCATTCAGTTCAGCCTACACATGTTAACATAGGGTGGTTCTTGGTTCTGTACTCATCACTTCCAGAAAGGGGAAATATTTTAGCACGGACCAAAGTCTCTGGCAGCACTTCTGACGTGTTCCTTTCCTCTTTTAGGTGGGATGACGATGTTGTCTTCAAGAATTGCGCGAAAGGTGTAGACGAGATGAAAAAAGACAAACGATTTGTCAATGACACACTGCGGTCTGAATTTCACAAAAAGTTTATGGAAAAATACATCAAGTAGGATCTTGTTTTTGAATAGGTTGCGTTGCTGATAGGTTGTGTGGCGCAAGTCACCTGCCTTTCATCAGGAAAATGCTGGCTTGGATGGAAATCTGTCAACAGTGGGCAGGTATCCCCCATGATCATAGCTATCTTTTTAACTTAATTCCTCGTCTGGCATATTTTTGCATGGTTTATTGTTGTAAACTTACCCCTTGCTGCTCTCTTCCCCCTCATTTTCTTGAAAATGTCGATTTCCTTATTGCTCTGAATTTATGTTCACTGGAAAATCATTTTGTAAATGTTTTGAAAGCAACTTCCAATAAACCCTTCACTCACTCGTGATACTGTTTTCTTTGTTAAACCTTCATTAGCTCCCTCTCTTGTTCTGCAAATCTTACTCAGATGAGAAAAGCTTGGATATGTTTTTAAACTCAGCAGTGGTCCTTCTGTCTTCTGCGACATAAAGCATCCTTTTATTGGTTCTGGCTGATGTGTCAGCTTCATGGACAAGCAGGCTGACCATTCCTCCTCTAAGCACCAGCAACCTCGTTGCTTCTAAGTTTAGAATCTGGTCCTACTTCACCAAAAACCCCACCATAAAGAAGGTGGGGTGGAGAGCACAGGGGTTGAAAAAAAAGGGAAACAACAATGTCAGGTGAATCATACTGTATTCTGAGAGGTAGGGACCCAGCAGCTGTAATGGTACGTGGGAAAGACATTGGGAGACAGAGTGAAAAGCGGCTGCCTAGGGAACAGTCATATAAGAGACGGCATGTTCTGCAATTGGATCTGCAATCTGATCTCTCTCTCTCTCTCTCTCTCCCTCCCTCCCCCCCCCCCCCCCCCTCTCTCTCTCTCTCTCTCTCTCTCCCACTGCTAGCAAAGAGAGAGAGAGAGAGAGAGAGCTCTCTTTTCTAGCAGTGGTCTCTCTTCCATCCCAAGGATCGGCCCACAGCTTTCCACTGCTTTCCTCTCCTCTGCCTTCTGCATATCCCCACATCAGGCACTGGACCCAGCTGTTCCTCCTCTTCCTCATCAGCCACCTCCAGACCTGGGGGCTGTTGACTCTTCATCTGAGGGCTGATGGACAGCCCAGGCTCTGCCTCTGTCTTGCTCTCTCTGACAGCTCCATTCCCTCTCCCCCCTCCCGAGCCCTCAGGTTGCCTTGATGCTGGCCCTGACTCCCATGCTGGCTACTCATCTGATTCGACTGCTAGAGGGGCCGGTGGCCGAGAGGCCACAACAATAGTGGTGACACAAGACCCTTAGAAGAGACCCTCCCTAGTCTCTTTAGTTGTAATGGAGAAGGTGGGGGCCTTGTACTTTCAGACTTGCAAGTCTCTTAATATAGCTTTACACATAGCTGTAGACTTAGCTTATCTTGGAAGGTTTCCTGTCTACCACAGTGATGGGTGTCGTTTTGTTGCTTTTCCTGCTATGTCCTTGGGTGAGAGAAGGGTACCCAAGAGGGTTTTCACCCATGTCTCTAAATGAAAATGGGGAACCTCCGGGGTTAATGTTATGTCAAAGCATTGGTGATGGGCCTGCCTTGTAGTCCAATTCAGAACAGTCTTGCTAGCTAGAGATAGGAAGATTCAGATGTAAGTTTCTTCCTCTGCCCTGATGGAATGGGCTGTGAATTTAACCTTGAAAAGAGCTGAAGCCAAGATAACAATCAGATAGGAAAAATCTGAACCCAAAGCAGGACTGGAATTTGAGAAAACATATCTGACTTGGTCCTCCCTGGTTCTCTTTAGGATGGAGAAGACACTCCCGGCTTGCAAGGTTCTGTTACTTTTTACTTTAATCATACAATAAAAGTCGTTTTAGTACTCATGACTTTGATGTTAGCACTAGCAATAGAGCTTAGACTTACCGCTTCACAGTGCTTCACAGCTCTCCCTAGGTTTACAGAGTCAGCCTATTTCCCCCAACAATCTGGGTCCTGCTTTGACCGATCGATGAAAGGCTGAGTCAACCTTGAGCCGGTCAGGATCGAACTCCAAACTATAGGCACAGTTTGCCTGCAATACTGCATTCTGACCACTGCATCACCACGATTGGTTCAACTCTGGTCTACCTCAAAGGACTGATAACCACTTCCTCCCCACACCCAAACAGAATTTCAAGATGTTATTTCAGGCTGTTTCCATGGATTACATTTGTCTCCATGTACAACTCCTTCAAAAAGGGAAAGGTGGCTAAAAAAACAAACTATGGAATTCTAGGTGCCCACTGCACTTGGTTCTTTGCTTGCAGGTGTTTCCTTACCCGACTAACACCATGTTCATCATGTCTGCAAGTACATAACCAGAGTACCAAAGGGACTGCAAAGTTCAACCCTGAGCTTTGTGTATTCTCTTCTATTTAAAAACTAACTGGTGGCATAATAACCTTAGTTACTCCAAATATAAAAGTGCAAGTATCAATTTACTTATTCTGTGTATGGTAATTTACATTCATGTGAGGCACCCAGACAGAACCCAGGGGGACTCTTACTCATTGTCCTTAATGATCACCAGGCTCCCTGATGTTTTATTTTACAATTGAAAATAACTTTGGTTTATGTCTCACCACTCACCTATTTTCCTGCTAGTCCCTCCGTAAACCAGCACCACTATTAAAATAATTGCAAACATTAAACCAGCCCAAAATAAAAACCTAGCAGGCTAGCAGACAAATCATATACAAGTGGTCCTTGACTTAACAACAGTTCATTGAGAGATCATTCGAAGTTACGTCACTGGAAAAAAGCAACTTATGACCATTTTTCACACTTATGACAGTTGCAGTATCCCCATGACCATGTGATCCAAATTCAGACAACTGCCATTTCACACTTATGACGGTTGCAGTGGGATCCCCCTTTTGCGACCTTCTAACCAGCCAGGTCAATGGGGAAGCCAAGGTTATTTAACAACTGTGTGATTAACTTAACAACTGAAGCGATTCACTTAAACAACTGTGGCAAGAAAGGTTGTAAAACGGGGCAAAACTCACTTCACAAATATCTCGCTTAGATAAATTTTGGACTCAATTGTGGTCATAAGTCGAGGCTAATATTGGCTAATATGGTTAATCAAAGGTAGAAGACAGTGGTGGGATTCATATTTTTTTACTACCAGTTCTGTAGCTGTGGCTTGCTGGGTATGGCAGGGGAAGGATACTGCAAAATCCCATTCCTGCCCTACTCCACTAACCTGCTTTCCAGCTCTTTTTTCCTGTGCAGGGCAACAAAAGAAGACCCAGCCAATCAGTTGGGACTTGGGAGGCGGAGAATCAATGGGGGTGGGGCCAGTCAGAGGTGGTACTTGCTGGTTCTCCGAACTACTCAAAATTTCCGCTACCGGTTCTCCAGAACTGGTCAGAACCTGCTCGATACCACCTCTGATAGACTATCAACAGGACTTCACAGAGCTGTGACCAGTTTGGGATTTTTTTAAAAAAAACAAACCTGGAAAAACCTTGTCCAAAAAAGCTACACTGGCATTTTGATGATATCACCAGGAATCAACCTTGAATCAAAGGTGTCTAAGCTTTCATGATCTATATCTTGATGTCAGTTTATTTTGCTGCAATCTGTTGGGAGTTGGGATGCCCCTAACCTCATGCAAGGAGACCCAGTTCAAGGAATGGAGACCATTTTACTAAAGTTTACTGGGCGCTATGGTGAGTTTTTCCCAAGAAAAAGCTGCATACATAAATGTGGAGGAAAAAAAGAGAGTCAGTCACATTTAAGAGAAAGTTAAGTTTCTTTAAAGCAGGGGTGTCCGACCTTGGCAACTTGAAGACTTGTGGGCCTCCACTCTCAGAATTCCCCAGCCAGCCATGAATTCTGGGAACTGAAATCCACAAATCTTAAAAGTTGCCAGAATTGGACATGCCCTTTTTAAACCATGAGAAAAACGAACCTATCTTGGGAGTGCAGGGCCTCCATTTTTCATGGATCTCCTCTTTGGGAAATTCCAGAAGAAAAGTATTTTCTCAAAACAGTTGCTAAAAACATGGCGGTCTGTCTCTGTTGGGAATGGAGGCCTCCACTTTCTCATGGCCCAATTGGCTCCGGATAGTAAATCCCAGAGACAGCTTCCACCTCGACCTTTGTTATCAGAAAAACAGTGAAACAGGACATTCCTTCAAAACTGCAGAAGAGGGATTTCCCCCCTTGAGAGTTTCTCACATATTTGGTTAGACAGAAGAAACAGATGTGGCAGGCTGCAAATGAAAAATCTTCTGTGCTCAAGAATAACATTCAAAGCTCACAAGGACTTGTTGGCCACCTCTGATTTTAAACATACATACTGGCAGGGGTGGACTTCAAAAACTTTAGCGAGGGATTCTCTGCCAGGTGTGGCCATGGTGGGCATGGCCTAGTCGGCCTCCTGCACCATGATGTGGGGGGAGTGTTTTTCCCCGCCCTGGGCTCCGGAGGCTTTCCTCGAGCCTCCGGGACAGAGGTGGTATTCAGCAGATTCTGACCAGTTCTAGAGGAAATTTTGAGTTCAGAGAACCTGCAAATACCACCTCTGACTGGAGATTTTACAGTACCTGTCTTCTGCCATGCCCACTAAGCCACAACCACCAAACCATGCCACGCCCACAGAACCAGTAGTAAAAAAATTTGAATCTCACCATTGCTCCGGGAGAGTGAAAATGGCTTCCCCCGGGCTCCAGAGGCTCTCTGGAAGCCAGAAACAGACCCGTTTCCGGCCTTCCCGAACTTCTGGGAGGCCCATTTTTTGCTCTGGCAGAGCGTCCATGCTCGCCCTGCACTTACCTGCATCCAAAACAGGCTGTGGGGGGACCCCTGGGAGGGGAAGGGAGGAGTGGGCGTGGCCAGTCGGGAGTGGGATTTGGGGGTTCTCCAAACTGTGCAGAATCTTAGCTAGGGGTTCTCCTGAACCCCCTCAAACCCCCAGCAGCCCACCCCTGGTATACTGGTAGTCCTCAGCTTATGACAGTTTAAAGTTACAGTGGTACTGGAAAAAGTGACCTATGACCTTTTTTCGCATGACTGTTGCCACATGCCCGTGATCACGAATTTCAGATGCTTGGCAACTGGCATGTACTTAGGACAGTTGCAGTGTCCTGAGGTCATGTGATCATCTATTGCAACCTTCCAACAAGCAAAGTCATTGGGAAAGCCATCTTAACAATTAGTGATTCACTTAATAACTGTGGCAAGAAAGGTCATAAAAATGGGGCAAACCTCACTTAACTAGTGTCTTATTTAGCAATTGTGGTCGTAAGCTGAAGATAACCTGTATACATATGTATATCAATTAAAAATAAATAAATCTGAAGCTGGCAGTGACTGATCTGATTTATGATTGTCAGGACATACGATCATAATGGGCAGGCTCCATATATCAAGGACTACCTGTAATTTCCAAATAATTTGTTCAGACTCTTGAATAGAATAGAATAGAATAGAATAGAATAGAATAGAATAGAATAGAATAGAATAGAATAGAATAGAATAGAATAGAATAAGGGTCTTCAAACTTGACAGCTTTAAGACTTGTGGACTTCAACTCCCAGAATTCCTCCTCCAGTCATGTTAGCTCAGGAATTCTGGGAGTTGAAGTCCACAAGTCTTAAACTTGCCAAGTTTGAAGACCCTTGGAATAGGATATTAGAGTTTGAAGGGACTTTGGAGGTCTTCTAGTCCAACCCCCTGCTTAGGCAGGAAACCCTACACCACTACAGACAAAAGGTCTGGAATTATAGATCTGATCTCAACGAGACTGGAACCTGAGCGTCTCTAGCACAGATAAAAGACATCACTTACTGTATGTATACCATGCAACATGTGATAGGCTGAGGGGTAGGGGCTGGTTTTCATGTAAAGAGAAGACAACTTGGTATCAAAAGATGAATTTAACAAGCAACATCTGGCATTTCTATTTATCTAAAATAATTAGTTGATCAGAACATGAACCTGGACTAAGGCCAGTTTGTTCCAAACACATGGCTCCTACTAGCATAGCATCAAATACAGCTGATTTCCACCCCCCCAAAATTTTCTACTTCCCCTGGGAGCCAGTTACATCCACCCACCCACCCATTCATATCCATATAAATGCACTCTTGCTTAAAGGTTTAATCTTAAACTCATACTGTTTTTGTGTGAGAGTGTGGGGAAATGTGACTGATAAAATGGCCAGCTGTCCTACTTTACTAAGAACAGCTCTCTTTTCAACAGTTCTATATTTGACATGCTTCAAAAAACTCTATTAAGATGGCCTGTACAAATTGAGCTTAAAGCTGCAAAATCAGAGGTGGCATTAAGCAGGTTCTGACCACTTCTGGAGAACCAGTAGCAGAAATTTTGAGTAGTTTGGAGAACCAGCAAATGCCACCTCTGACTGGCCCCGCCAACCCCATCTATTCTCTGTCTCCTGAGTCCCAGCTGATCGGCTTGGTTTTCTTTTGTTGCCCTGCACAGGAGAACGGAGCTGGAAAGCAGGTTCGTGGGGTGGGGAGGGAATGGGATTTTGCAGTAACCTTCTCCTGCCATGCCCACCAAACCACGCCCATAGAACCAGTAGTAAAATTTTTTGAATTCTACCACTGTGCAAAACCATAATGTAACGGACTTCTATTAGTAAAAGAGGACTTGGGGGGGGCTAATATCAGCTCTTTTATTACTCATGGTTTAATTACTATGAGCAAACATATATAAGGATTCATGTACTAACTACAACTCTTCAAACTATTCTTAATCACAATAGAAGAAAATGTATATAGCTCAGGGTTGAGGTGTAGAGTCCTGGATGCTCTGAGCTTGGTTTTTTTCTTGCAGATGTTTCCTTACCCAACTATGCAACATAATCTTGTCAACTAGTTGGGTAATGAAACATCTGCAAGAAAAAAACTAAGCTTAGAGAGCATCAAGGATTCTACACTCTCAGTGAATTCTCTTACTAACTATATGTTGAGCATGGAGATGGTTTAGGATAAACTCAAGGTTTATCCTAAATTTGGATAATTCATGAGTGGGTAGTCTGTGGTTCAGCAAGTTGTGGGAATTCTTCTGTTGTCATAAAATGTGCTCTAGAGTGGACCATTGAAGTCCACTTTGAGCAGAGCATGTTATATCAACCCAATTATGATATGCTAAGCAAGATTTAGGGTTTAGCATTCTTTGGAACAGGATGCTTTCCTCAAGCACTAATTTGCCAATCTTTGAGTTAGGTACAGTACTAGGGTGATGTAGTCGTTTGCATCAAATAAATGGTTTGAAAACCGCAGTTGTATACATTTATTATATACAATATTAAGGCACAAATTTAAGCAGCAGAGAACAGGAGAAAATTCTTTGGCTGGTCAGAGTCACCCATATTTGTTATGGAGGATGAGACACTATTTATATATACAAACACTTTCAAGCTGTACAATGCTCTGCAGTAGCCAATCTGCACAACAGAAACACAACAGGGAAAATTGACATTATCTTACAATCCCTTTGCCTGGAATATAACTACACAATGCTATATAAATGTCAGGCAGGATAACACCACAGCAGCACGTAGATCAGGTATTGAGCAAGCTAGAAAACATTGGTTTACAATTATAGCAGCCACTCTACAAATGCAAATACTATAGATAAATTATGCTCTAATACAGGGGTGTCAAAATCAAGGCCCGGGGGCCAGATCTGGCTCGCATGGTGCTTAGATCTGGCCCACGGGGCCACCCTGGCAACAGCGAAGGACCAGCCTGCAGTGCCTCTGCCAGTGAAAACGGAACTCGTGAAGGCTACAGGCGGCCCTCTGCAGCTCCATTTTCACCGGCAGAGGGTTGCAGGAGGCTGTCGCAGCTGAAAACGGAGCTCGGGGGCCTGTTTTCGCTGGCAGAGAGCGCTTAGGCCACCACAGGTGCCCGCGACACAAGTGATGTCGAGCTGGCCTCGCTCACCCTGCCCCCCCCCCCCCGGGGTCAAACACAACCCCAATGTGGCCTTCAATGAAATCATGTTTGACACCCCTGCTCTAAATAGGATGGACTGGAATGGGGGTGAACTTCCATCAGCTTGAGGACCGCACCAGGTTGGTTAAGGGAAAAAGGGGGCAGGGATATTAGACGTTTGCAACTTGCTTAGAAAATCTAGCTAACCTTCTCCCCACCCCACCCCCCCAGTGCAAAAAAAGACCCATAGGTTTTGGCCCCACCTACTTTGCTTAGACTCTGGGGCCTTCATATTTTGGCATCTAAAAATCTACAGTCACATTATTATTATTTTGCATGCAGCCAGATTAACAAGATTTTAATGTCCTGATTATTTTGGCTTGGGAAAGCTGCCTGCAGTTTGCACACACAAAAGGATGGTAACAATTCACCCCTTGTTTGCAAGTGGAGTCTTGGACGTAAATGTACCGTTGGGAAGTTATAAATAGAAGGCCTGGTCTTTAACGAAATGTGGCAAGGCATGTACGTCTAAGTGTACATACATATAAATATATAAAGAAGCTGTTTTTAGACTAATTCTCTTCTAGTTTGCCATTTTTTGCCCCTCAGAAACAACAATGAGCGAGCAACACTACATAGAGTCCCGGTGTACGTCTTTGCCTTTATCGTCTGTGGAGAGAAATTTGACCACAGAGAGTCAGAATTCGAGAACCTGCTATTTATGCTTTGGATAAAACATAAAACTGGGCCTCAATGCATTTGGGGCTTTTTGCCAAAGAGAACAAGGGCCTCCCTGCCTTGGATTTAAAACATGTCTGTAACAAGAGGCAGTAAGACTGTCTCTCTGGTCTATAGAGGAAGAAGGGAAAGAGGAAAAAGAAATTTGCATAACCTTACTATCTACAGATACTCCGGGAAGTAGCATCTACTACAAGCCTTGGGAGGCGTTTTGTTTTCAACTAACATCTGACGAAGAGGAAAGTTCGTGAGTCAGAGCAAAATCAGAACACTGCTACATGGACTAAGGACTCTTACCAAGGTACACAGGCACACTTTTCTTCAGAAAGAGTACAACATAGCCGGCACTATACTACACAAGAGAGGAGAATACTAAAACAGCTGCATATTGGGCCCCATCTGGAAGGGACCACTGTGTTAACTACTTCCTACATTATATTATGACTCTTTCAACATTCCAGCTTATGGCAGAGACTCAAAGACACCTTATCTAGCACCAGGTCATAAATAGATCTAATGGAAAGTCAGTGAAGCTGATCCTAAGATGTGTTATCTTCACACTTGACTTGTTCAGATGCATGACCTCTGGATGGAGTGGTCTCCGTCGGGGATTTTGCTGTGGGTGCATCTTTGCTATGAATCCAGGGAAGAAATCTCATTTGATGCTTCTGGGGATTATTAATTTTAGGCCTAAATGAGCTGAGGTCTGACACAGCCAGAATAAATTAAATTTGAAGGAACTGGAGATCTTTCGGTTGATTTGTTCACTGGTTGCTTACTTTCATAATGCAGATGATCTTACGGAATAAGATCAGAAAATCGTGGCTCTCGTGCATTGAACACCCAGATCTCAATCCATTTTCCTCTGCTGTCAACAGCAGTCAGGGACCTCTGTAGACCCAGAGATCACGGAAATAATTTAGGATTAACCTGTCTAAATGTTGTTCTACCAGAGATCTACGTCGGACTGATTGACAAACAGTAGAAGCAAACCCAGGTGATGGAGGGATCAAAAAGGAAAAGCAGGAAGAAGGTAGCAGCTAAAAGAATGATATTTGGAAGTCCTGCTCCCTCACCCAAGAATTGCAAATACAAGTCAAAAAAGTCCATGTGGACAACCTACCACCCAATGAGGATACCAGTTAGGTGGTTGGAGAACAGCTCCTGGCACATCAAACACATCCTCCATAGAAACGTCCTCTGATTCCTATAATGTCTTGACTTTCCCCACCCCTCCAAATCCACAGCATGGTTCACTGTACATAGCAGACCTCCCAAATGTTCTATCTCCAGCATTCTGAGTCCTCTTGCTCTCCTCAACTCAGATTCACCTGGAGTTTTCTTCTAGGTTCAAACTTTCTTGGTCCAACTTTGTGGTGTCCTCCACGATTTTTAATTCAAGCGCAGCAATGAAAACAACACCCCCCCCTTTTTTTTCCTCTCTCTCTCCAGGGTGAAGAGGTGCTTTCCCCCAAAAGCAGCAAAAGCTCGATGGCTTCAAATAAGGACTTCCATCATATCTGGATCTGGAAATTCAGGCTTGTGAAGCAGTTGGCTAACTCTGCTTCTGCTGCTGTCCAGGAGCTTCCCACAGCTGGAAGAGTTTTCTAAGGGAGGAAGACAATGTAAAGAATGGGTCAAGTCTCAGGGCCAAATTGCATGTTTTTGTATAGAAGCCAATCTACACAAGTCATTTTTCCTCCATGTTTTGGGACGCGTCTCGCACACACAATTCACATGACATTCTTTCCAGGCTGCCATTGCATTGGGTAATTAATTTTGCTACCTGCTTTTAAGACCGTTCTTTCAGGCAATGGCGATCCTAGCCATTACTAAATAAAACATGCCTTAAACTTGCAGGATTTGCAAAGCTCTTGGTACAAGTGGCTTCCATTTCAACGTTGTGCAAAGGAATAGAAAAAACATTCCTAGGAGTGCCACAGGGAAGCAAATTAAAACATAGAACCCCTTTAAACTCGTAAGGCCAGTAAGAGATCAATCATTCTAAAAATAACAGCTGAGAGTTTTCCAAGAGGAAAATCGTCAACGGGTAGAAAATAGATAATTTCTGAATCTGTACACCTTTCAATAAGTTTGCATTTTGTTCACTTACTTAAAATATTTATAAGCAACTTTTCAGTATATCTACAGCTGAATTTTACTTTACAGGTAGTCCTCAACTTATGGCCGGTCATCGCTTACCGGTAATTTACAACAGACCCTCCCCCAAATGTATTTACAACCCAGATTTGAAGTTCCAACAGCTAGCATCCCTCTCAAAACATGTTTGTATTTTCAGTGACTGGCAATTGGCCTTCATTTATGGTTGTTTGCAATGTCCTGCTGTCACATGACCACAATTAGGACATGTTTTAAACCACATTTACTATCAGTTTCTGGCAAAAAAAAGGCTATTGCGAACAATAAGTTTGCTTACTAATAGTGGATTTGCTTAACTTCCACGGTAATTTGCTAACAAAAAAAGTCATAAAATCGGATTAGTCGTGTGATGATGAATGAATGATTGACATGACTTACAACAGTAATTAAAGTTACAAATTGAGAACTACCTGCATTTTGCTTTTCCTGGAAGCAGATTTTCAAAACTCTAGATTCTACAAATCGCAAGTTTATAGATCCTGCTAGTCATGTTCCCGGGATCAATGCGTTTGGAACTACTCACCTGGTTTCTCCCCAGAATTTTTGCCTGTGATGTGCCTCAGGGCTGGACTGCTGACGGAACAGTGACTCAGCTTCCCTCTACCCGGAAAAGAAGCTGCAGTCGGCCAGAAAAGCTCTGTGCCTTTGTCCGTCTGGGTGCTGTTGTCTTTGCTGCCCATTTTAGCATGGCAGATGGTGACTGGCCATGAAGACATTGTAGAGGACAAAGAAGGAGTTGGAAGGGTCAACGAAGGGATGGGTGGCTGCTCAGAAGTGTCTTTCCCTAACAGCAAACCTTCAAGAAAATAACAACATGGACACCAAGATATTTTCCATTATATTTCTCCTATGGTTTCCTTCAAGAACACACAGGTTAAATTTTGCAACGTCTGATGCAAAGAAGCTACATTTTGTACAGAATGGTCACAACAAGCACACAAAACTCTAAGCTAAAATTCCTGGGGAGTCTGACCAATAATAAGCAATATTACAAACAAGAGTGACTTCAGAACCCAAGATCTAGGCTGCCAAGGAAACTTAACTGTCTAAACCTGGATTCCTGGCTTGCTTCTACTCTCACAAACTTGAATTTGGAGATTGGAGACTTTAGTTGGTTTCCTGATCTTGGCTTTTTACTGGAGTGGTAAGCCAGGATAGAAATATATTTGTTAAGCTTCTTATAGATGACATACTGCTGGTTATTCTAACTAATAGCCATTGAAAAGGGAACAAAATGGGAGTTAAATGTCTATGGAGATTTTCAGTCTTCCAGGTCGTGTTTTTTTTTTTTTTCAAGAGGCAACTGGAGTTTCTGGTTTTTTTCTTTGAAGACGTTTCACTTCTTGTCGAAGAAGCTTCTTCAGCATTTTTTTATTAAGTTATAGAGTGTTATAAAACACAAAATACAAAAGTAAATGAAGAGCAGTGAAGGGGGAGGGGAAAGGGGGAAGTGAAGTGAGGAAAGATTTGGGGTGGGGGGAGAAAAAGAATCAGGTGACACTTTGATTCCTACCATGGAAGAATGGCTCCAGAAGTTGATGGAGTTGGCGGAAATGGCAAGGCCGACTACTCTGATGAAAGAAAAGAACACAAGTATTTTTGTTTCCACATGGAAACCGCTTCTGAACTTCATGCTTAATGTGGAAAAGAATGAAACTGACTTGGGGTTTTACAGATCAGACTGACAGATCTTTATAGAAATGACTTGTGCATACTATTATGGAAAAGCAAAAAGCTGTGATTTGATGCTAATGCCTTATTTTAGAGAGAGTCAGAAGTCCAAGAAGCTTCTTCAGCGTTGAGCCAAGAAGCTTCTTTCAGCTCTTAGAGCTGAAGAAGCTTCTAGGATGAGAAGCAAAATGTCTTCAAAGAAAAACCAGAAAGTCCAGCTGAAAAAAAAAAAACACCTTTGGGACAAAATGGGGGTTATTTCAAAGCACCAACCTGCACTCTTGGTCATTACTAATAGTCACACTTTTCAGTGTTTTTAACCTCACTGTTTTTGCAAATTCCTGTAAACAACACTAAACAAATGCATTAAGTAGCATATAGGTTGCCCATCATAGATTACTGTCTTCCTTAAAATATATTTCTCGCAACCAATCCCAGCTAAATATGCTGATGTTTCTCAAACTTGCTGGCTCCTTCTAAAAGGAAAGGCTGGGAAGGAGCCAGATTATCTTTTCCGACCACATTATACTCATGGCAGTGATGCAAACTGGCTGAAATGATGTGACAGGGCTGAAGGTTCACAACCATTTTGGCTGCTCTGGGAACAAAGCTGGTGGAATGCTTCCAGCAGCAATTTATGAAGAAGGGAAAACTGCCCATACGGCAGAAGTAAGTAAAACCCTAGGGAAGTATTAGCTTTGGAGTGAGAGCTGGAAAGAAGTTCCAAAGGGGTAGTCCAGATATAAAGAGTCCTGAGGCTTAAAGAAGTGTGCAGACAGCAGAGTCCAAAAACTAAATAAAATTCGGATAACGTGCTTTTGTAGTCTACATCTTAGCACGTTGTGTGAAAAAGGCCATTGTGTTAAGCCAGAATGAGACATGGAGACCTTGGTGCTCTCTGAGCTTGATTGCTGTTGTGGCCTGTCAGCCGTCGGCCCCTCCAGCAGCCGAATCAGATGAGGAGGTGGTCAGGGAGTCAGGGCCAGCATCAAGGTAACCTGAGAGCTCCGAGGGGGGAGAGGGAATGGAGCTGAGAGAGAGAGAGAGAGAGAGAGAGAGAGAGAGAGACAGAGGCGGAGTCTGGGCCGTCCATCAGCCCTCAGAGTGAGAGTCAACAGCCCCCAGGTCTGGAGGTGGCTGATGAGGAAGAGGAGGAACAGCTGGGTCCAGTGCCTGACACGCAGATATGCAGAAAGCAGAGGAGAGGAGAGCAGTGGAAATCTATGGGCTGCTCCTCGGGACGGAAGAGCCATCACTGCTAGTGAAGCCCCACCCTAGTTCTGGGGATAAAAGGCAGGGGGCGGAGATAAACAGGTGTGGCAGATAATTCAACTCCCAGCCAGGTAGACTTGTTAGCCTGCTGTGAGGGAGGGAAAGAGACATTTTGCCAGGGCTGCTGGTGCTCCTAATAAAGGAAACATTTATTTAACTACAGAGGGCTTGTCGTGTTTGGGAGCCAGGTCAGAACTGTTGTTTTCTTGCAGATGTTTCATTACCCAACTAAATAACATCTTCAGTGCTGGGACTGTCTAGCACTGAAGATATTACCTAGTTGGATAATGAAACTTCTGCAAAAAAACATCGAAGCTTAGAGAGCAGCAAGGATTCCTCAGTTCAATCCTGAGATACAAATATTCTCTCCTATTGGTACATAATATGAATTATTCCTGAGCTAGCCATGTTGGACTGGGAATTCTGGGAATTGAAGTCCACAGGTTGTAAAGTTGCCATAGTTGCCCTCCCTGGTTTAGCATGTTGTGTGACCCAAAGCCACACTTTCCAGACACACAGACTTACAACTATCAGTGGGGGTACATCTGGTTCCACCATTTATATCTTTATAACTTTGTTGAAAGCATGAACCAATAGCGATGCAGTAAATCTCTGGTCACCACACAATATATATTTTTTTACTTATTTATTTTTATTTATTTATTTATTTTAAATTTCTATTGGTTTTTAAAACAAACATAAACAAACAAAACATAAAAACATCAGGCCATCTTCCGTATATGTACATACAGTGTGTACATATTTTTACAAATTGTTTTGTGCTTTGTGCTATTGTCACCACACAATATTGAAGTAGGATATTGGGCAAATAAAATATCCTATTTCAATATCATTTTCTCTATTGCCTTGTTTACCATTGATTGGTCCTTAAAATAGTTTCTTAAAAGTAATGCTTCATAAAACTGTCGACTAAATAAATCAAGAGACAGAATTGGGAAAAACAGCAAGCCACCCCAAATGAGGATGGAGCAACATCATATGGGTGAAATACAATACTTTTATCTTCCTTTAACATAGTGTTTTCCCAAGCTCAGCCTCTTTAAAATATATGGATTTCAACTCCCAGAACACTCCAGCCAGCAAATCTGGCTGGGGAATTCTGGGAGTTGAAGTCCACACATCTTAAAGTTGATGAGGTTAGTAGGTCTTTGCCAGGTCCAAGTTTACATGCCAAGTATGGGTTCACACATGGCATTGAGTGATAAAGATGCTTTGCTTGATTTGAAATAAACAAGTGACATGGACCTAGCCAGTGCAGTTGATAAAAGACAATACAGGGTTTAGCATGTTGTCTGAACAAAACTGGCCTATTCAACAATTGTTGCTTCATATCACATATGAACTGAAGCTCACCAATGCTTTCTTTCCAGGACTTCTCCTCTTTCTTCTCCTCAACGCCCTGAGTGTGGTTAAGGGAGGTCTGACGGGAGTGCGTTCCGGTAGCAGCAGCTATCGATGGCACCGACTGAGCGGGTCGCAAACTTGCAGAATCTCCTTTGCTGGTATCTTTCCTGGATCGCTGCTGAAGGACCTTGATCATGGCATCTTTCTCAATGATTTTTGCATACAGATTCTTTATTCTAGTAATAGTAATAATTTATTACAGCGGTAAATGTGGATGTAATAATATTATTGAAGTCAGACTTAAAGAGATCACTTGGCCCCAGCTAAAGAGGAGTAGGTATCTGGAAAAAAACCCTTTCTCAGTCTATATTCAAATATATATTTTGATCCCAGTTAGGGTTTCCTTTAATCCTGCCATGATCAACTGAGCTGATTTAATCCACAGTATTTTCCTATAGCTGGGGTGTCAAACTCAAGACCTGCAGGCCAGATCCGGCCCGCAAGGTACTTAGATCTGGCCCGCGGGGCCACCCTGGAGACAAAGAAGGACCGGCCTGCAGTACTTCTGCCAGCAAAAACAGGCTCCTGAGCTCCATTTTTGGCTGCCACAGCCTCCTGAAACCTTCTGCCAGTGAAAATGGAGCTCCGTTTTCACTGGCAGAGTGTTGCAGAAGGCCATGGGAGCCAAAAATGGAGCTCAGGAGCCTGTTTTCGATGGCAGATTGCTCAGACAACCACAGACGCCCCCAACAGGAGTGACGTCGAGTTGGTCACGCCCACCCCGGCCATGCCAACTCGGCCCCCCAAAGGTCAAACACAACCCTGATGTGGCCCTCAATGAAATCAAGTTTGACACCCCTGTCCTATAGCATTAGCACAAGAAAAGCCGGGCGCAGGGTGCGTGGTGCCCGCAAAATGCAAGAGATGATGCTCCAGGATCTTCTAGGTGGAGACCATTCATTAAGCCCTGCCCACCAGTAACAAACAAGAGGACATTTAGTCAAAGTATAGTCAGAGGGACCCTTTCTAACACTCTTGGCAACCAACCAGTTTCCTAATGTGAATGCTCAGGATCAATATTCAGGATCTGGTTCCCAAGTGGATTAGGGCCTTATATGCCAGAAAAGCAGAACATGCTTATTAAACACTGCTGGGAGCCTCAGAGCTCCGTATCTTAATTCAAATCCCATGGCAGCTATTTCACAGCTGTTCCTTACGTGTATTCCATGTCCTGACACTTTTGGGTGTTTTGCATCGTCTCCTGTTCTTCCTGCCATATGCGGACTTCCAGGGAACTCTCACTGTAGCTGCCACTGCGGGAGTGGTTGGTGGCCAAAGTATCTCTAGCAACAGGGGGGGAAGAAAACCAAAAGGCTTTTAACTGACGGGATCAAAATCCAAGAACCTTCCTTTCATCGATCTAATTATCTGCTTCTCTACTCGGGAAATTTCTAGGTACAAGAGCTTTCTTGTCTCTCATAATGATAATCGTGATGATAATCATAGTCATAATTATGATAATCATAATGGAATGTCTTTCATACTTCTTCTGTGTGGTTCTTTTGCCAAAGAGACCACAGGCCACGTCTAGCTGCCTCTGGATGCTCAATGGGTGCTTACTCATTAAAGGTTAGGACTTCCTCTGCCATTGGCATCCTGGGGTGGCAACAAGGTGCCCAGGTGTGTCATGACATCCTCATGACCTCCATCTACTACCAAAGAGTGGAAGGAAAGAAGGGAGGGAGGGAGGGAGGGAGGAAAGGAAACTAAAGAAAAGGAAAGAAACGAGGAAAGGAAGGGAAGAAGGAATGAATGGGGGATGAAAGGAAGGAAGGAGGGAGGGAGGGAGGGGGAGGGAAGGAAGGAGAGAGGGAGGGAAGGAAAGGAAAAGGAATGAAGGGAAGGGAAGAGTAGAAGTGAGTGAGTGAGGGATGGATGGAAGGAAGGAAGGAAGGAAGGAAGGAAGGAAGGAAGGAAGGAAGGAAGGAAGGAAGGAAGGAAAAGGAAGGAAGGGAGGGAGGGAGGGAGGGAGGGATATGTTTTGTATCTCCATAATCACATGAGACAACGAAATCTCTCAATGTCTCACAAGAGGTCTATGGCGAGCTTTAAAAAGATCTCAAAAGCCCTTGGGTTTCACCCAACATCCATGGAAGACTGACAAGCCTATCATTCAACCCTCTCTATAAATGTGATTAAATAAATAAATGAAATCAACCCATCTTACTTTTCTGTGGCAGCTGTAGCTGCAGCATTCATGGCAAAGTGCCGGATGGTGCTCTCCTCGAGGTACTTCTGCTCCCACTTGGTCATGTCGGCTTCCAAAGCCAGGATCCTCTCGTCCTTCTCCCGCACTAACTCCATTAAGGCTGGGACGTTGTACTCAGGCACAGGGGCTGCTTGGTAATTCCCTTGTTTCTGAAATAAAGGAAGATGGCTCTATTAAACCATTTTTAGTACACATTTCACAGGCAAGAAGAAGCTCACACATTCATCTGGTCTGGCTTTGCGTCTCTCACTAAAACCACCAAGGGTCCATTACTGAAGGAGTTACACATGTATGGATGTATTATGCATTGTGTATTTCAGTCTAGTTTCCATATGTGACAACCGGAAGCTTTCATCAGGTTGGATCTGTTTCCACACTCCCATACTCCATGGGAAACACCATGAGTTCCACATAGTCACTAAGAACGAAGCTTGACTTAAGTGAGACTTTACTATCTTGGTAAAACATTGATTGAGCGAATGATTGTGTCAACTCATAAAATATTTCTATGGTTTTTAGGGTTACCAACAGAAAAGGAGGGAGCAGTGGGCAACTTGCATTCCATAAATGTTTTCAAATATAGTTTCTAGGCGACTGAAGTTTTTGTCACGCAAAATTCTAACTGAAGAGTGTGATTGATGACTCTTGGCTATGGATGTGTCCCATTGGAGAATATGAATTATGATACACCCAGGGGGTGGGCGAAAGCCAGGGTCAAGGGTGACAATGAATGATATGTCTCAGAGTCAGCTACACCCAGGCAGAGCTGGCATGTTTACTCCTAATAAATCTTCTTTAAGTTTTGAAAATGCGGCTAGAGACTCATGATTTAAAGGGGGGTAACTGCGGGAGCCCTGACAGATTGATTGGTGTCAAGAAAGAGTGATCTCTCTCCTTGATGGAGTCTACAATTGAACATTCAATGCAGGAGAAAGAGGTGACTTGGGAAGGTTGGAACTCAAGGAGAAACCAAGAACATATTTGTTTTGATTGCACACTTTTAGTCTTCGTTACTGATAAAGACTTTACGGCTATGCCAATTTTCAATGGGCAAAAAGTCCACGGCCACTTCTATTCCACAGCACCTTGTGTCTTTCCGTTCATAAAAACTGATTGTGCTGGTAGCTGGCTTTCAAGAAAACGTCCTCCAGGGAAGCTGAGAGCAACTAGGAGTTTTGTTTGAAGCAGGAAACACCACAGAGCAGATATTTTGGTTTCCCTCTTGTGATAGCCGCTTTCCTTCCCTTAATGGCAGAGCTTTCTCTTGTGAGAGACTGGAAACACAGATATTTCACCAACTGACAATTCTTCAGTCAGTAGAAAGCTCTAAGACTGTGTTCTTCATCCTTGGCAGCTTGAAGAGGTATGGACTTCAACTCCCAGAATTCCCCAGCCAGCATGGGGAATTCTGGGAGTTAAAGTCCACACCTCTTCAAGTTGCCAAGGTAGAGGAACACCGGTCTAAGAAATTAATTAATATGTACCAGGGGTCCCAACCAGTGGTGGGATTCACATTTTTTTACTACTGGTTCGGTGGGCGTGGCTTGATGGGCGTGGCAGGGGAAGGATACTGTAAAATCTGCAGTCGGGGTGGTATTTGCCAGTTCTCCGAACTACTCAGAATTTCCACTACCGGTTCTCCAGAACTGGTGAGAACCTGCCGAATACCACCTCTGGGGCCAACGCAATGAGAAAATTAAAAGATATGCAAGACACAATGTTCAGATGCTCACAATGATTTTTTTCCCCCCTGTAGAATGCTCCTCAGAAGATTTCCTTACAGTTCTGGCACACAAGATAGTAGATATTTTTTCACTCAGTATACTTCATTGAGTTATAACGGCAGTTTTCTAGCCAATTATACCAGGAAAAGAAAGCAGAGTTACATATAACTTGAAAAATATCCTACGGGAAAGTATTTCTGGTTTTTGGAACGAAGCCCGCCAAAGTACATAAATAGTAGTTCAACAGCAGTCTCAATATTGGCTTCCTACAGGGAAAGATTTCCATTATTGCATAGTCTTTCCAGATCTCAACGTATTAATAGTATTTGACAGAATATGGCAAACTCTACATCCTCAGCAAGGTCAACCTTGAACCTGAACCAACCAAGTGATAAAAACAAAAGATTGTCATTATACCTAGAGCCTGTTGGGTCTGGATGAAGAGAAACAGGCTGAAGCTCCATTCTGGTAAGACGAAGGGGTACAGGAGCATGGGACACCCAGTTCCAGGGATCTACCAATGACTGGATGGATAGATGTTTCCCAATACAGAACTAGGGTACAAGCTATTTTTCCCCTGGAATTTAGAATCAAGTAGAAGCTGGGACCAGGAAGCCTTTACACAGATTTGTCTGGTGCCCTAACTGTGTCTTTTCTGGAATCAGGAGGCCTTACTGGAGTTGTGTCTGAGTTACCACGCATGTGAACTTACATGAGACTTTACTATCGGTAAAACACTGATTATCTGATTGATTGATTGAAAGTGATCTACATGGACTGCTCTTGAAGATCACTCTGAAGCTATAACTGGTCCAGAATGCAGCAATGCAAGTGGTTATGGGAATGCCTGGCATCTAATACTGTTCCTACACCAGCTTCATTGGTTATTATAAGCTTTTGGGTACAAATCAAAGTACCTATGTCATCTACAGTATAAGGCCTAGGTGGTTATGAGTCCATCTATGTCCCATATTAGCTGTCTGCCAAGAAAGTTCTAGAAAGTTTGACATGCTTCAGGTGCCTTAATTAGTCCACTGTCTTCTTGAAAATTTCCAGTGTTGAGTATTCACAACTTTTGGAGGCAAGTTGTTCCACTGATTGATTGTTCTAACTGTCAGAAAATTTCTCCTTGGTTCTAGGTTGCTTCTCTCCTTGATCAGTTTCCACCCATTGCTTGTTGTCCTGCCCTCAGGTGCTTTGGAGAATAGCTTGACCCCCTCTTCTTTGTGGCAGCCCCTGAAATATTGGAAGACTGCTATCATGTCATCCTTATTCTTCTTTTCATCAGACTAGACATACCCAGTTCCAGCGACCGTTCTTTATATGTTTTAGTCTCCAGTCCCCTAATCATGTACCACCCCATAGTGCCTTACTGCATTCTCTGTTTACAGTTTACAGAGTCAGCCTATTGCCCCCAGCAATCTGGGTCCTCATTTTACTGACCTCGGAAGGATGGAAGGCTGTATCAACCTTAAGCCCATTAGAATCAAACTACAGGCTGTGGGCAGAGCTAACCTGCAATGCTACATTTTAAGCACTGTACCACCAAGGCTCATCTAGAATGTGGCAGCTGGGAAGAGACTGGAAAATGCACAAACTTGTTGCTTATGCCACTGATAGCAGCAAGCCATGGTTGTTTTTAGGCACCTCATCCTCCAACTCATTAATATCAATGTAAACATCTCTTCAAGTAATGGTTATCCAGAATTCTTTACCTTGATACACAGAAGGAACTGATCTAACATATAATTTTCCTTTGAAAAAGATAAATAGATTGAAGTGTGATGGGAGAGGAGGTTATGGGACCTACTGGGACAGGAAACATGTCCAAGACCTGCAGGGATCCAGCCAGGTGGGAGGAAAGCCTAAGAGACCCACCAGGGCAGGAAAAGGGGGAAAAGATAGGCAAGGAGACAGTGCAGCATTCCTGCGGCTGGTTGTAAGGGCGAGTGGATTGCCAAGCACCCCAATTTTGTTCATGTGACCAGGTGGTGCTGCAGCAGCCATAATTTGGAGTACTGTACTATTACAAACACAAAGTCATTTCTAAGCTTTGATCTGACAGCACCTTAAATCACTCCAAGGAACCAAAGTCCCACCTTCAATTTCTCACCTGTTGCAGCCTCAGAGATTCCAACTCTCTTTCCAGCCTGGTGCGTAACCGATGCTCCATCTGCTCTCTCTTCTCATAGGCTGCCTGAAGTTGGGTCAAGGCCTGCTGGAGTTTCTCTACCTTCTCGACATGTGCTTGCTTCTTCCGTAGCTGAAGGCAGAATCACAGAAACTCAGGTCACTTTTGTCTGACCTTCAGTCCAATATAGGAAGCGCACCTCAATATCCCCAATGGGAATAATTCTGCCTCTAAGGAAATGCCTCCGACAACTGAGAACTTATTCCCTTCAAAGCAGAGAACTCTCTGGCCAACCCATCTGTCAGTGCAATTGTCATGCCCCGGTCAAGTCTGAATCCTAGAAGGAAGACAAACAGCTGACAGGGAGCGGGAGTGTGGCTCCATTGGCTGTGGAGGACCTTGGGAAAGGGCAAAGTCCGCCTGGGCAGAGAAGGGAAGAGGTAGAACAAGGGAGAGGGAGTTTAGAGGAAGACCCAGGCCCATCCCCTCTTCATCCTAGGACACTCAGGGAGGAACGGAGAAGAGAGCAATGTGAGTTGCGTGGCTTACAAGGGAGGAAAGGGCCCTGATTCCCTTCATTAGACACACCTGGGAAGAGAGTTTAAAAGAGATGCAAGCTGAGTGTGGTGTCTGCTGGGAACAAACATGAGTTTATCTTTGCTTATCTGTGTTCCTGGCGTCTTTCTAACAGTGTTGAGTTTTGCCATCTGAAATTCTTGCTCCTGCCCTGCCAAACTAATTACCTCATTTTGCCTTGATTGGACTTCTAGTTACAGTTTTTGTTGACCACATTTTGGTCTTGATTCTCTGAAGTCAAAGGCTGTTCCTGGGAGAGTTTTTCTCCAGCCAGAAGGTAACCAGGACATTGGGGGCAAAGTTGGAGCTAATAAAAGGACTCTTATTGATTAACTGACTGTGTTGCCTTTGTGCCACGCCCCGGGACATCACAGCAATTCAGAGCAAGGAAATGAGAGCAGCAAGAACAAAAATTTTACTGGGAAAAATATACGAGACTGAGAACAGCGACTGTATATTTATGCAAGACTACATGTGTATGCAGGAAAAAGAGAGAAAGAGTTGGCTTTGGGTTCAAAATACCTTGGAGATCTTGGAAATGGTTCATCCCATGTAAATCACAATATGGTTAGTTTATTGTTCATTCAGCATTTTCAGGTCACTGAGGCTCATGTAACTATGGCTTTGCTGGAATAGCAACAGCAACCCATTCGTGTCTGAATTTTAGTCTGTGTATATTCATGAAAGGGGAGAGGAAGTCTGGTGCTCCTTTCTAAATTGTGTCCTGTAACTTAAGTCTCTTGATCTTTTTGAAGAAAAGCTTTTGGGAAGCGAATTAAAATTATTGTTGTATGAACATAAAGTTATCAGATTGGGAGACTGTATGGAACAGAAATCACAAATTAACAAATCAGCAGCATACAAAGAAAATGCATCTAAAATGTTCTATAGGTGGCACTTACCCCCTTTGAGATTAGCGAAAATGTACCCTAAAATGAATCCTATATGTTGGAAATGTAAAAAAAAGAGGGAGCATATTATCATATGTGGTGGTCTTCCCCAGAGGCTCGAAAATATTGGCTTAAAATCAAAGATTAGCTACAGGAAATCACCAATGAACAATTAGACCTAGAACCAGAACTCTTCCTATTGGGGATCTTAAAAAAAAAATAGGTAAAGAGCACAAAATACTTATTATTACACATATTGACTGCTGCCAGGATTACCTTTGCCCAATGTTGGAAACAGCCAGAGAAATTGGTTATACAAAAAGTTATGAACTGTGCTGAAATGGATAAATTAACGTTGAGTTTAAAAGATAAAGAAGTTTCAATATTTTATAAGGTGTGGGAACAATGGTATAGTTGGATAGATTGGAGATAGATTTAAGATAGGTAATTATTAAATATAAGTAATAGATAGAATAAGAATGTAATTATGCATAAATTAATACCTGTAAATAATGCACGAATTTTTGTCATTCGATAAGCGCTACAAATAGCTGTTATTGACTGCTATTTTTTTATATTTTTAATGTAATAAAAATTCAATAAAGTCTATTTTTAAAAAAATGGGGGTAGAGCTGCCACCACGAGGCTGTGTTCAGGGTCAATTCACTAAACTGACAAGGGCCAATTTAGTGACCAATCAGGATTACAGATGTGACCACATGACATGGACTACATTCCCCAGGATACCTTGACTACATTTACCATGATGCATTCCCTTAAGGGGACAGCTCACAAGTCCTAACTATCCCAAATCCCATTAACTCTAAACTGTCTGGACAGCACAACTGGGCTGCAGCATTATAGGAATATGCTGGAGGTTGATGGTCATTTGAGTGACAATGGCAAAGACATTAATTCATTACTGTGCAGGAGAAGACAATGGTGAATTGACTCCTGCCCTTTGGAATATCTTATTCCTGAGGTGAGATTGTCCCGTTCCCCCCTTGACTTTTTGTAAGAGCCTTAAAACCTGGTTCTGCCCGATGGCTTGTAGTCCCAATGGGGGGGAGTTTCACACTAGAGGTGGTTGACCAATTAAAAACTAACCCCCCCCCCATTTTATTTGGCTCCTTCCTTCTCCATCTTGTGTTAATGATTTTATTTTGTATGTTCTGTCATTTAATATCCCATGATTTTAATGCTTTGTAATGCTTATTTGCTATCAGTCACCCAGAGTCATTTGAAACAAAAGGGGCAGCAAATCACTCCCTAGTTACAACCATCTATTCCATCAGACCTGGCATTTGGAAGCATGGTACAGATCCCATTTATTAAGGTATTCACCTCACAGGACCCAGCAAGAGAGGCTTTTCTGCCTTGAGGCTAACTTTTGCCTCATCACACGTAGGTTGTCATCTTCTGGCCTTCAGGAAGAACCTGAAGACTTGGTTTTGCCATCTTGCCTGGGGACCTAGCAGTGTGGTGTGAAGCCCGCACTGTTCCACTAATAAATTGGATTTGACTCTCACAGATTATATTTTTATGGTTTAATAAATGTCATTGTTTTCAATGCCTTTTAACAATTTTTGTCGTATGATTTGGGTTATTTTTGTATCGGTTTAATACGATTGGAAAATTAACCCAGCAGATGCTCTTCATACTTTCTGGGCTGTAGGTGCGCCTCCCTTTTGTTTTGGGTTACTCTAGCCACAATAATAAATGCTGAGGACAAACGCTTGCAGATTGGAAGATACAACTGAGTCCAATGGGATAGTCTTAAAAAATTGTGCACAATCCAATTACTATGTCTCGAAATGAACAAACTCCGAAAGATGCAGAAAAGGGCAACCTGAAGGACAACCAAAACAATGAAGGAATTTGAGAAACCATTTTGGGAAGCATGATTAGAACATCTGAGACTCTTTATTAGTCAAAATATTCCAGACAGCTCCAGAAGTGTTGTTGTGTCCTAAGACAAATATCTCCTTTAATGCTGATGTTTAGATTGGTAGCCAACGCATCATCCTTAGCACCAACGGGATAATTTTCCACCCACACCAATCTCAAGGAAAGAAAACAAGTGTCTGTTTATCGGAGATAATTTAACCTCTCACCTCTGCTTCTAATTTGATGACTTTGGCTTGGGCGCTGTTCAGAGCCTGATCCAGGATCTCAATGTGCCTTCGATGCTCCTCATTGGTCAAGCGCAAGGCCGTCAAGTCCATTTCTAGCTTCTCCTTCTCCTTCAAATACTCTTTGTCTAGAAGGGAGACAAGATCAAGGCCAGATCCTTCAGGAAAAAAAAACCCTTAAAATTCTAGGTTTTCAGTACCCAAATTAGTGTCCAGGACTCTTTGAAGTATTTACAGACAGTTCTCCTAGTTTGTACACTCCACGTTGCAAAGCAACTGTTGGTGTCCATCATTATCTTTATTTCTAATTATAGCCCTGGGCTTCAAATATAAACTTTCGAACAGAATACAGGTAATCCATAACATACAACACTTCAGCAATTAGAACAATTAACCAATGGAACAACTTGCCTCTCAAAGTTGTAAATGCTCCAACACTGAAAGTTTTTAAGAAGAGATTGGACAACCATTTGTCTGAAATGGCATAGGGTTTCCTGCCTAAGCAGGGGGATGGACTAGAAGACCTCCAAAGTCCCTTCCAACTCTGTCTATTCTATTCTATTCTATTCTATTCTATTCTATTCTATTCTATTCTATT